AGGTCTCCCTAAGAAGCAATTCGGCCTCAAGAACCCAACCCAGAAGCTGTGGGTTTCCAGACTTTGGATCTCAGACCCAAGACTGCCACGTCCTCTCTACCTGGTTTCTAGCCAGCCTCCCCAGCTGCTGTGCACACTGCAGACTTGCCAATCCCACCACCTTCTGAGCCAATTAGTGGAAATAAAACCCTCTCTCTGGCACTCCAGAGAGATAAATAGACAGACAGACAGACAGGACCCCCTCCACCCCAGGTAGAGGATGATTCTTGAGGAGCACAGAACTGGCACACTGTGGTGGGAGAACAAGGTGACACCGGCCCCCTCCTCCCTCCAGGTGAGGTAGCCTGCAGGGTAGAAGGTAGCGCCCAAGAGGAATTAAATTCCCACCGCAGTGTCTCCCCTCCTCCCCCTCCTTCACCAACCAGAGACCCTCCCCAAGGGGCGGGACCAGAGGGTCGGCTGGGCCAGAGGAAAGGGGAGCCGGGTAACTGCCCAGCATGGGGTGCCACTAAGGAGGCTAGACCTACGGGTCCCTGTGGTGCAATCAGCAACCAGAGTGACTTTCCTAAAGCCCACATCATGCCATTGCCAAATTCTGGAGTCCTGTGGCCTCCCGTGACCTTAAGATAAAGCCTAAAATCCTATTGCACAACTTACAAGGCTCTGTGTACCCCAGCCTCAGAGAGGCTACCACTCACATTGCAGAGTCTTCGGAGCAATTTATAAAATAACACGGACAGTCAGAAGCCCCTTTTACAAAAGCTTGAAATAACTGTCTATGTGCACAGAAAATAACCACCAGCCAATGAGACCTGGCTCTGTGCCAGATCCTGATGTGCGGAGTGGGAACAGTGCATCATATTATTTTCTATAATCATGGAGGCTGGGTACTGCCGGCATCTTCCTTGCAGAGGAAGAAACAGAGGTCCAGAGAGGTCTCCAGCTAGTGAGGGGCAGAGCCAGACCTGACCCCAGGTCTTCTAAGTCCAAAGGCCTCACTCCTCTCTGCCAGGCGCCTCAGTACAAATTGGGGATAATGATAGTGTCCCCCTCATGATTAAATGGCTGAGATGGGAAACTGTCAGGATAGCTCCTGGCACAGCCTCAGCGACCAGCAAGGGTGGTCGCCAGCAGAATCACACCATCCCCGGGCAAGCAAGATCACACTCACACACGGCAAGGTAGCACGTATTTCTTTGTTTTTAAATTCTTGCACATACAACACCTTGGTGAGCTGTTGGGCTCCTGGGACAGGCCCATGCATGTTTGAGTCACCTCTGGCCAGCTCCCCCAGGCCTGGCACAGACAGACCCCCAGTGGAGGATCCGAGCAGGAAACAGTGCAGAACAGCCCCTCCCCGCCCAGGCGCTCGAGAGTTGGGGGAGGTAGGGGTCCGCCAGGGCCAGGCACTGGCCTCAGATAAGTCCCCTTGGCTGGCACTCCCCAAAAGGCACCATGAGATGCCTGGAGGCTTTTCCGGACCCCCGGGGAGAGTGGGCGCGGCCCTGAGGCCTGGGACCTCCGGCCCTGGATCCACGACAGCTGTGACCACTTCAGCTATTTTAAACCCTTGGGCACCAGGAAACTCCTGACCCATCAACCGGGCGCTGGCCCAAAGGGGTAAGCCAGAGCCAGGGCAGGAACCCTGCCTGTGGGTGGCCAGAGGGGGCTGGATCGTTTAAGGGGAGGGGGCTCATTTCTGAGCACTCGCCTCCTGCCGGACTCCTGTGTTTTCTGAATATTAGCATCTCATTTAGCACCATCCTGCCTCGGGCCCAGAGTTCTAACAGATGGGAAAATGGGGCTCTGAATAGAAGGGCGAATGGCCGGAGGCTGCACAAGAGCCAGACTGGCAAGAGAACCTCCTCCCGCCTTCCGCCTTGCTGTCTGCCGTCCCCTGGCCTCAAGTTCCCATCCTGCTCTGCCCACTCTCAGGAGCCGAGTGACCCAGCGTGATTCTTGGCTCTTTCTGCACCTGTTTCTTCTTGCAAAGTGCAGGGTCCCTGCCGGTGTGATGCTCTGTTCTAAAACATGAAAGGTGCCGCCGGGAACAGCTCGGCCCCCAGAAATGACGCAATGAGCACCCACTGTTATTTCTGCTTCGCTGCTCACCGTGGCCTCTGGCCTCCTGTGATCACCCCTGATCCTGCTGTGTCCTGTCTGGGCCTCACTCAGTGGGGAGAACGCAATGTCCTCCTCCAAGTCTGGGCCTCAGTTTCCCTGAGGGTTCAATGACGGGAATGTTCAGTATCTGCCACACACAGGAAGGGCTCAACAGGATCTCCCTGCAGAGGGGTGCCCAGACCCAAGACCTGGAAGTCCGCTTTTTTCCCACTTGGGCAGGTGCCACCCACAACCTGCCTCCTGGCTGGAGGATGCCCTCAGGGGCCACCAGGGGCCAATCAGAAGTTCTCCTTACATCTGCTGTTATCCCTTTGGGAGTGAAGGACCCCCGGCCGGGACTTAAGCCCCCCCTTTCCCCACCCACATTCCTCCCGAAGCCCAGCTGCCCAGGAGATGGATTCTTCACCACTGCCTAATGTGAGCCTCCTTTGGGGGGACAGCTGGGATCACAGGGCCCAGTATACCTCACTGGGGGTGCTTCTGAGCCTTGCCCCTGGTCCAGGCACACCCTTTCCTGGGACTCCCATGCCCCCACCTCCCTCCCAAACACAGTCCCCTCCAGCCCACCTCCTCCCTCTCAGGGCCTCTGCCCTCCCATTCCTGCCCTTGCCCCAGGAAGACCACTCGCTCACACACTGCTCCATTATTTGAACAGCCCCTGGCTTTGGTCAGGGGAAAGTTCCAGGGCTGTTTCAGTCCCCTACTAGACCGACACCCTGCACTTCAGCCTCCAAGGACACAGACTGACCTCTACAATGCCATCCCTTCGCTCTGTGGCCCAGGACAGAGCCCCGGACGTAATCCTTGCCCCCTCCCTGTCTCTCCACTGGCACATTCTCTCAGTCACCAGGTGCCACCCAAATCTCAGTCCATAAACACCTGTCAGATCAATCCCCTCTCCCGCAGCCCTCTCACGCTCCCCCAGCCAGGGTCTTCATTCCCCCTCCGCAGCTCAGCCTCCTCGCCAGGGGTGCCAGGGGCAGTCAGGGCAGCTAAATGACCCAGTGATCCATTGCAGTCCTCGCTGTTCCAAGCTCTCGCCCACTGATGCCCTGGCTTGGCATCCGGTCCCTGCCAGCTGCCGGTCCTCCACTCCCACCCAGCTC